ACAAAATTCAGGCTTAAAAGCCTGAATTTTGTCTGAAACTCTCAGACTGAAGAAGTCTCTTGGAGGAGAGACGAAACGTTTCATTAGAGAAGAACCCGTCCAGAAGACCTATACAATTTTTTTCTTTTTTTTTACCTGCTCTACTGCTTTTTGATGCAAAGAAGATTATAACACGATCCAACAGTAAACAAAGAGTTACCTTCAGCACATCAGTGGGGTTGGCGATAGAGGAGGAAATGACTCCAGAAAAAATGCCACATGCCACGTTAATCAGCAATGTCTCATCTGAAGGACAGAAAGCAAGAAGCTTTAGATGTACTGAGAGACTGCTGAACACCTCGGAGCAATGTTGAGTGTGACTTCATTACAAGGATGGGGGGAGAAACTGACACACACCTTCTGGTCTGTCAACAAACAGCCTCTTAAAACTCTGGTATGTACCAATTTTTATGGTCCCATAGGAGGCCTGCCGGAGCATGGCAGGAGCAATTCTGTGAATAAGAACATTTATATTACAAAGTGAGTTTATAAGTTAGTCAAAGGGCAAGTAGAGGCTTTTAAAAAAACAGGAAGTGAAGTGAAAAGCGGTTTCTTTTGCAACAAAATGCCTTGGAGTCCCAGCACATGTGCAGTGTGTAGAGTGAACATACTGACCCAGAATAAAGCGCCCGGAGCCCCTCTTCTCTTCCGATCCTCAGCATAGCATGGAGCATGCCTCTGTAGCGGATCTCACGGTATTTACTGTCGCCCACCTGGCCTTGGACCTGAAGACGGGTCTTGGCTAGGTCGATTGGAAAGGTCCCTGCAACAAACACAGAGCAGCGCATCAGTTAGCTCATCTGTACGAACAGTTAGTTCAAAGCGACACGCGCGCGGGAGCGGGCGGCACGGCCCTCCGGTCCTCCCTCCCTCCTCGTGTCCTGAACACAGACACGCATCTCACCGCATTCCGCCGTCACAGACGCGAGCCCGCCGAAAACAAACGGCTTCCAGTTGGACATTTCCTCCGTCCGTGAACCGACTGAGACACAGCTGCGCGACAAACCCGGGAAAGTACAGCGAGTACTTTTAACAAACGTTCTGCGTGTATACTCGGCTCCTCCGTGGTGAAAGGAGTGGAGGGACTGGGAGAGACCCTCTCTGACAGACAGGCAGGCTTGGACGCTTAGCTCCGCCCCCTGCCGCTCCTTCATTAAGAAGGGGTTTTCTGAGGATTCAAAGTGGGCGTGTCACAAGAGTGGGCGTGTCAAAAGCATAAACACTGTGGGCTACGAGGCAAGTAGGGGTCTCTGCAGACGAGTGCAGATGAATGGGCGTGTCACAAGGAAAGGCGACACCTGATTTGACGGACTTTGTTAAAGGGACACACCTGACTGGACAAGCAAAAAAGGGGCGTTACTTTACGGCACCACCTCATTGAACAAGAACAAAAGGGGCGTTACTGTACGGCACCACCTCATTGAACAAGAACAAAAGGGGCGTTACTGTACGGCACCACTTTTTCTGGAGAACCCTACTTGGGTCACATATCTCCTAGTTAACCTTATTTTTGGGGTCAGGGTCAGGCTGTAAAGAGATCAAGCAGAATCTAAGGATACCGTCATGTAGGCCTCGTAGCCCACAGTGTTTATGCTTTTGACACGCCCACTCTTGTGACACACCCACTTTGATTCCGCAAATAACCCCTTCTCCTATGAGGCCTACATGACAGTATCCTTAGATCCTGGTTGATCTCTTTACAGCCTGTAGGTCAAAACATCTGCAGCTCTTTTGGTTTTTATAGCCTTCTTTAAAGCTTCTTTAATGGTCTCTGCTTTTCATTAGTTGCCATAATTGTTCATTGAACCAGAGAAGGTTGGATTTGTGTTTATTCTTTTTCTGAAAATTTACACTGAACTTCTCTCTGACAGCATTAACCTCATTTGTAAATAACTGACAGCTATGTTCCAATTTTCAGACGACATCATCCCACTCTATAGAATCTATTTCATTATTTAACATGTCCTGTTTGCTTTTTGGTATGCAGAACTTTTTTAAATGACACAATGTTTGTGTCCTATTTTGAAGTTGTTTTTTAGTTAGTTTCCTTGCCAGCAATGTTAGGTTCTGATCAGACAGTCCAGTTATCACATTATAAGTTCTTATTACCCTTTCAGGTTTATTGGTGAATACGAGATCTAAATGTGTACTTGTACTTTTTGTTATTCTAGTTGCATTTGTTATCGGTTGTTCCAGATGGTATTTGTCTGTAATGGCTTTTAACTTTTTCCTCCTCAACTTATCCTCCCAGTTAAGGTTAAAATCCCCCATAAGGATTGTTTCTTTGCCATTACATTCTTTAATAAGATCATTTAGTTGCTCATAGAAATTGTCATTGGCACTTGGGGGGTCTGTAACAGCCTACATTGTAAAAAAGCATTTGCTGGTACAAAACAACTCAGCCACATACTCCAGAGAACTTGCAGCTTTAAAGTACAAACGTTCACATTTGATACCATCTTTTACCTAACAGAACCCCACCTCCTCTCCCAGTTGCTCGATCTTGTCTGAAAACATGGATAACCATCTACTGAAGAAATACTAACTGGAGTAACACTTTGTAACCATGTCACAGATAGACACAAAAAAATCCAAATTAGAAATCCCAAGCAAACGATTCAACTGTTCAGAGACAACACTTCTGATATTTATGGTAAGTGTCCAACAAAAAGTCCTCTGGGCTTAAGCTTAGGGTTCCAAACAACTTTTGCATGTTTTAAATGACCTCTGTTTTTTATTGCAAGATTGTTGCCCCTTTCAACACCAAAAACAGAATGAAATGGCTGAGGCTCATGTTTTATGTGTCATGTTTCTTCACGGGTTCATCATGAGTTGCGAGTTGCGACAACAAAGGCTCTCATTGGTTGAGACACTAGAGGAGGGCATCTAAAGCCAGTAGTGATTAAGATCCCGCCCCCCACTGTGGTGACCACTGGGTGTATGTCTCTCTCTCTCTCTCTCTCTCTCTCTCTCTCTCTCTCTCTCTCTCTCTCTCTCTGTGTGTTTTAGGGGTTTGGGGTATATTCTAAATTGGATAATTTGTGAATTGTTTAAATAAGCAAATTATCTTACCTCGAGGCACCACGCTCTTAATTTGGTCAAAATTTAACCCAGGAAAGAGACGAAAACCTGTAACTTTATTGTAATCAGTCTCACAATAAATGTACCCAAAATGATTTGATGAGTCCTTGTCCTTATCAGAACCAGTAATACCTTTATCAAGACACAAAAGTGACATTAGCTTATGTTGGCATGTTCTCCACGGGCCATTTATTTACAGATTAAATGTATTTACAACTATGGCGAGTAATGAGTGGTGACATGTTGAACCAGGTAAAACTGACAGAGTTTGCCATCACAAGTGAATAAACAAACAAACAAACAAATAAAATAAACACTGAGAGGTGAGTTTGAGGCTTGGAATGAGTTGAGGTGAGTTTTGCTTTTAGCTGGTTTTTAACTAAGGGGGTCCTAGTTAAATTAGGGAGAAAAATCGTTTAATTTATCAAATCTCATACAAAGATAAGAATCAAATTATGTCTGAGCACCTGTTTGTCACCAGGACAAATGTTCACTTTTACCCTTTTTTTTCTGCTGATTGCGGTACCAGAAGTAGGCGTCGGCTGACCGAAGGATCTCAGGTGATGTTCCCCAAAGAACTGTTTCAGTGTAGTGGCCGGTCGGACACTCAGGGTGTCTGTTCAGTCAGAAAGGGGGTGGTGAGCTGGTGACAACGGGGTCCGGTCCTCCCAGGCGGCTGCAAGACTTATTAATTTGATTTCAACTTTGTTAAGAAAAACAAACTAAAAACGACGCATGAATTACAATTAGCTTATTCAACTTCTACAAAATCAAACTTAGATGTTGAGTCAATATTAAACGTTGGCTGTTCGTTCAACCCAGCAGGAGATGCAGAAGGGCCACCATCCTACCATCCTGCCCAGCCCATGGGGAGGGGCTGGCAGGAAGGGCCTCTGCTGAGCTTCTGGAAAGCTGTTTCTGGCTTCTGATGTTGTAAAACTCTCTTTCTCTGTCTTCTTCTTCTTCTTCCTGTGAGAGGAGGGTGTGTGGAGAGCTGAAGAAGAGTGAGAGTAAAAGTAAGTATTTAACCACTATCTTGGTGTTTTTTCTTACTGTTTTT